TTTTTTTCCTTCTTGTAATAGCACATTTGACTTCAATGGGGTTTCAGGAGGGACAAGAAGTGAACTTGGTACCTATTCTACCAACAAGAATTTTTATTTGTTAAAATGATTCCTTTGCTCTACAAAAGATTTACAGGCAGGATTCTTTGTAGGCAGTTTTATACGTATGTATAGCATGCCTAAAATATATATACACAAGTTGAATATTAGAAAATTCAACCATCTTATACGTTATAAGGGAAGATCTGTTTGCAGAAAGTCAGAAAAATGTAAAACATTTGATTACATCTTTTCCTTCAGATACAATCTTCAAATTATGTCCAGCTTTCATGCATGTTACTTAATTTTGTTCTTCCCATTCAAACACACAAAATACTGGCTTAAGTTCAGTGAACATTAGATTGAAGCTAAAAATGTTTTGCTTTCAGCATTCCTAATAATTTCTATCTCTCTCCATTATGTTGATTTTGAGATCTGTGTTTCTTGTCACTCTTGGTTTTTTTCCACTTAGCACTTATTTTTATAAAATAAGAGCAAAATGCAAAAGAAGTATTCAAATAATTGCAAAACAGTGTTGGACAAGCAAAGGCAGAGACTCTGCCAGAACTAAGCCATTGATAGGCTAACAGTGCTTGCCAAGACTTAAACGCTCGTTCATCAGCTAACGAAGGAAGGTTTGAATTCAGTGTACAGTGCAGCTGGTGTAGGGGATCAGTGTAAAAGGTATCAAAGGGCAGCTTCTATAAAAGTTGAACGTCCCCAAATCAAGGACAGCCTAAATATACTGAGTCACAGAAGTGTCTAAGAATGACCACTTGACGCACATGACAGAGTTTTAAGGAGGTATGCCCAAAATGGATGAATTTAAAGTATGAAGACATATCTTCCGTTAAATGTTTATTGAGAATGAGGAAAATACATCTCTGAAATTGCAATATAATTTGTTAAGCACAGGACTTTGCACCTAGTAGGCACTGAGTAAATATTTGCTTTAACTGATTTGCACCAAAGAAAGATTATTTAGTCGACCCAGGACTTCTGAGGAACTTGCCATGGCGTCCAGTCCGGGGACAAAGCGTCCCTCCACCGTAGCAGAGAGTCTTCTCCCCAATCCAGACTTCTGTTCCCTCCCTTCTAACTCACTCGAAAACAGAAGTTGAACCCTCCTTGTTGACCATGATTGTTACTGTTTTATGTTGGCTTTTTCAAAACACTAATTAACTTGCGGGATCTTTGTCTCAGCAAACGAATGCTCCTCTAGCACCAGCAGCCTCTGCAGGATTAATCCTTTTGCAGAGAACCCTTATATTGGCAAAGATTTACATCGTCAGCTCCAGGCACTGGCCCTGCGGGAACCCTGCATCATAAGCACCAAGATTTTTGATGCAGCAGTTCATGCTTCTATACCGTATGAGCACTTTTTTCGCCTTTTATTCAGAGTGGCACTGAACTGCTTCTTCTCAAAGCATGTAATACGCTAATGTAATAGGAATTGGGATCATGAAAAAGAGAAGAGCGACAGAGGCATTTTAAGTTTTTCAGGCTGCACTATTTGTTGTTGTTGGGTGTTTTGGGGGGTGGGTTTTTGGAAGGGGATTATGTTTTAAGAAAAAGAAAGAAAGAAAAAAGGACCCACCCTCAGATATCTGCAAAGCCAAAGGCTTAACCTATTACTCTGAGAAAAATGTGGAAAAGGCCAACTCTGGCAAGTAAATTAATCTCATTCTCCTAAGGAATATGGATAAAGAGCACACATTTCATCTGGAGTTAACCATTTATTGGACAGGAAAGACTTACTCTTCTCTTTAGGGAGATATGTTAATGAAGACCAGGGATGGAATTCTTCACTTTACAAAAGGATTTATCATTGGATCTTTACGTAATGGGGAGGTTTCTGCACGATAAGGGAGTTGAACCTGATGATCACAGAAGTTGTAGCAGGTGTATCAGGCATTTGGTATTGAGTTGAATTTTAAAAAGTTTCTAATTTTTCAGGAATGCTCCCACTATAAAAAGTGAAATGACTTTTGCCCTTCATTTTGTGAGTTTGTTGGGAAAACTGGAGAGACAATACAAAGTGCACATCAGACACTCTGTCCTCTGTCCTTAGTTTTCCTGGAATCACGATGAGGGCACAGCTTTTGAAATTCCCCTGGGCAGTATTTGGGGCTAGTTTGTGGCTATACTGTAGTGGGATAATTTGACCTGAAGGTGTCTTGAATTTTCTGGATGAAGTTCTAACATGGTATCATCAGTCTTTCCTGGCTTACTAGGCTAGCATAGAGCTAATAGTCAGGAGGCTGATACCGATAATGATAATAGTTAAGGCTTATTGAAGATTTACTCTGTGCCAGGCACTATTCTAAGCACATTACAAGCATTTTCTCCGTAGTCCTCACAAGCCTATGAGGCAAGTATGATTAAAAACCAAAAATCCGGGGCCGGCCCTGTGGCCGAGTGGTTAAGTTCGCCTGCTCTGCTTCAGCTGCCCAGGGTTTAGCTGGTTCGGATCCTGGGTGCAGGCATGGCCTCACTCATCAGGCCATGCGGAGGCAGCATCCCACATAGCATAACTAGAAGGACCCACAACTAAAATGTGCAACTACGTACTGAGGGGCTTTGGGGAGAAGGAGAAAAAAAGAAAAGATTGGCAACAGTTGTTAGCTCAGGTGCCAATCTTTAAAAACAAAATACCAAAAATCCCATTTTACTGATGAGGAGATTGAGGCTTGGAAATGTTCATGACTTACTGGTGGTTACACATCTAACAAGTGGAGAACTCAAACCCAGAGCTTGCGTTTCAGATCCAGTCTCTCCAGTTTGGGGCAAAAATTGTCTTCCTGTCCATTTTCCTTGAGCTCTTACTCCCTCTCCCTACTTAAAAGGAAAAGATAAGATGAAATAAAATGAATCATTTCCAGTGCGGCAGGATCCTATCTCTATGTGTTTCTGAGTATTTCCCTCTTTACTTTGTTCCCTTACTGGTACCCGAGGGGCAGTTTTCCCTCCTCAGGTCACACAGAAGCAGAAACAAAGACTCAAAGAAGCTGTTCATCAAAGTGAAGAAATAAAGATTTGGACAGCTGTTTAATGGGGAGGGGCGTTCTGCTCCCACAGACTGGGGGGTGGGGAAGTGCTGGAGGGTGGAAGACAGGAGGTGAAGGGGATAGTTAGGATGCGTGAAGAGGCACCACAGGACCAGCCTGTGATGGAGTCTTAGTACCAGGCTCTTCTCTCAGGACCAAGCTCACCGACCTGTCACCTGTGGCTATGTCACCTGCATCCAACAGTCTAGATCCAGAGTGAGGGATTTGGACACCTGTGTGGGATGGGTGTATCAAGAGAAGACCAAGGTGAGAGTGCACAGAACCAGGGGAGAATTTTCCTGAGGTGAGGCAGCAGTAAATATACATCATTTTATCGAGGCAAAGCTACAACGGTAAAAGCAGTGGTTCTTTTAATAACGCTGTGTCTGAAAGAAAAATACTATAGAAGATCAGGCAAGGTCTGAGTTAGCTTTATCTCAGTCAGGTCTGATTTCATTTTATCTCAATCAGAAATAACTAAAATCATAAAAGATGCCCCGTTTGGCAAGCCGTAAGGCACTGAAGGAAGGATGGAGGTAAAAATATTTCCAAAGGCTGGATTCCCCTAATAGTGAAGATCCTAGTTGGCCATGAACCCGAGGGAGAAACCTATGGGCTCTTCGCAGTTTGGCTTTTCTGTGGGTGAGGAGAGGGCAGTTTCTGCCACTGCCAAGCAAAAATGGGCATCCAGGCAGGGGCCGCCAGCCACCACTTGAAGCTTCCTGCTGGCAATAGCGTCAACTGGTTATTGGCGAGGAGATCACCTCTGTAAATGTGGTTTCAGGGCCTCTGAGGATGACTCTTGAGCACCGAAAAGATTACACAAAAGTTACTTTATTTTTAAAAATTAACATTCAAGTTATTAAAGTTACAAAATGAAAAACCTAGTTAATAAACTTTAAGTTCAGGTTACAGATTGTAGTATTCTGTGTATTACTGTATCAAATTTTTTTTTTTCTAAGGAAGGTTAGTCCAGAGCTAACATCTACCACCAGTCCTCCTCTTTTTTTGCCGAGGAAGATTGGCCCTGAGCTAACATTCATGCTCATCTTCCTCTACTTTATATGTGGGGTGCCTGCCACAGCATGGCTTGATAAGTGGTACATAGGTCTGCACCCGGGATCCAAACTGGTGAACCCTGGACCATCGAAGTGGAACGTGCGAATTTAACTACTGCACCACCAGGCTGGCCCCAGCTCTAGCAAATTTTAATAATCACTCTGAAAGGGCCTTTAATTATGTGTTTTATATTATTTACAAACTTGGTAAATTAAATCCCTTTAAATATTTCAAATGCATTTATACATTTAATGTTTTCTATTTCCTTTGATGAGCTGCAATTCTCTGACTAATAAATAAACTTTCCTAAGACCTTAAGTCTTATAAATCTAATAATAGATTAAACATAAATACAGTGAATCTTATGTACTTTTGACTGTTCTAATACTGTTAACAAACTTAGTAAAATTTTAACCTAAATTCATAAGTCTAAATCCTTTTTACGTTAGACCCATAAGACATATTTTATATAGAATATATTTTACATTAGACCCATAAGATTAATCTATGAGATAGTCTAAAGCCCCAAATTCTCTTAAACATGACTAGTACTTAAAATGCTAAAATTTAAAGATTATTTCTAATATTTTAATTTGATATATTTCATATCTATACATAATTATAAATCTCTCTTTTCAACCCACTAAGGAAACAAATATGTCATCCTAAACAATTTTAGCCTTCCCTGCAAATTTTTTTTTTTCTTCTTCTTCTTCTCCCCAAAGCTCCCCACTACATAATTGTATATTCTACTTCTGGCATGTGGGATGCCACCTCAGCATGGCTTGATGAGCGGTGCTAGGTCCACGCCCAGGATCCAAACCGGCAAAATCCCAGGCCACAGAAGTGGATCGAGCAAATTTTGCCACTCAGCCAAGGGGCCGGCCCCCTTTCCCTGCAAATTTTGACAAAGTCGTTCATGGACTGTAGGTACTGGCTGAAGTTTGAGGGTTGGACCCACAGGCTCCAGGGCAGTTCTTCTCATGGCCCCAACTGCCAGTCTGAGCCTGTTTGCACAGTCCTCTTTCCAGAATATAAAGAAGGAGGTAGTCAAGTTACATTCACCTAATTCTCCAATCCACCTGGGAAAGTCTATTGCATTTTGCATTTCTTTGGTTCTTTAGACATTTAAATATCTTCTGGCAAGTCTAAGGACATTTGGACTTCATGGAATTCTTTTCCTGTGTTTCCTATCTCAGGGAGCCACACTTTATATAGACAGTAAGATAAAATCTGATTAAATTCTGGCTCTATCTCAAGGCCTGATCTGGCTGTGTGGTTACAATTTCTAAGGTCATTGCCCACCACCTCCATGAAAGGAAAACAAATGGCCAAAGTACAGCATTTCAAGAACAACAGCAGGAAAGAGAGGAGTCCAAAGGCTGTAGGAGACAGTGCAGGATCTAAAACTTTTGTTTAATTTTTGGCAAACATGACAACTAAATATAACGTGTAATCCTGGACTAGATCCTGGATGGGGGTGGGGAGTGGGGAAGAAGTGATGGTGGGGAGAGATTGGCATAGAAAACTTTGTCAGGATGCTTGGCAAAATTTCGGTAGAGACTGTTTAGTAGATAACAGTACTGTATCAATGTTAAATTTCTTTAATTAGATCTTTTACTGTGCTCATTTAGGAGAATGTCCTTATTCTTAGGAAATGCACACTGAAGCATTTGGAGGTAAAAGAAAATTGTGTCTATAACTCTCAAATGATTCAGAAAAACAAACACATACACATGAAGAGCGATGAAGCAAACGTGGCAAAATGTTAGTAATTGCTCAATATTTGCAATTTGTAGAACTGGCCTAAAGGATAAGAGCTAATTTTTATTTGATCCTCCATTATCTTAAAGATACTTATCTCCATTATCTTAAAGATAACTATCTTTAGCAGAGTAAGCTAGGCATAAATATTTGGATGAAGCATTAATAATTCTGTCACTTGGACACTAGGCATCAGTTAGACTCACTATCTGGAGATTTTCACCTTTTTTTTCTTAACCACAACCCACAATATCAGGATTCAGCACTTATATATGTAGTGTCTCGTAGTGCAGATATAAAATAGGGTTTATTGGGGGCAAACTTACACAGAGAGAAGGAGCAGATGCTCATAATCTTCAGGCCCTTATCTCTCCAAGGAGAAGCTTGTTTAGGTGGCATAGCTGGACCGCACACCCCAGGATGGTTTCCAACAGAGAATCTCTCCCATTCTCCAAGGCTCTGTATGTTCATAGGAACAAGGGGCAGGGAACATTTATGTGAATGTGTAACAATGAAAGTTCCCTGTTAGAGAAGTGGCCCTGTGAAAAAGGAGTTCTAGAGCCCAGCAGTTGATGGCAGTCTGTTCTTTCATTGAGTTAATTGAGACCTGCTGAGCCAGTTGTCTTCTTAGTTACCCAAAGGGAGAGGAAGTCAGCCTCCAGGGCTACCTGGATTTGTCTTTGCTCTCACATTGCCCAGCTAAAGACACTGTTTCCCAACACCTTTGCATCTTGGTGTAGCCATACAACTAAGCCGAAGTCATTGAATTTTGAGCAGAGGTGATATTTGCCCCATGATGTCTTTAAAAGGAAGCTGCTCACCCTCACCTTGTTTTTTATCCCTTCACACAGACTGGAATGAAGATGTGGGAGTCGTGAGCAAGCTTCAACCAAATGGATGAGGACAATACCTAGGAGACAGAGGAGCAGTCAGATAGAAGGGACCTGGGTGCCTGCATGGCTGTGTGGAACAGAGCTGCCTACTGCTCTGGACAATCTACAAGCTCAGATTCACACGAAAGTAAAATAAACCTATCTTGTCTAAGCCTCTACTATTTGGTCCCCATTAAAGCCTCCAAATCAATATTGTAACTGATACATGTATACAATACTGAAAGAAAAGTTTCACAAAACAGTATCCTTACAATAGGAGTCAGTCTCTGACATTTTCTACTCTATTCTATTCATTTTTTTAAAATGCTGATCCCAATCTATTAAATTGATTTCATTATCCATTAATGGGTGGCACTTGTAGTACAAAAACCACAAAGGTGGATCCCATGAAATTGTTCTTTTATAGATCAGATGTGCTCAAATATTGGCAATTTCATATAATTGAGTCAAATAGATGTCTATGAATCAAATAGTTAATGCCTGCTTTCTTCAAGTTTATAGTCTCAAGTGGACAATAATGACCAGCCAGTGAATGTGTACACACAAGTGATTCTGCAGTTCCTAGGCGTGGACTCATATATGTTGTGTGTATGCACACACATGTATACAGGAATGGAGGGTCCTCAGTGTAAGAGTGTTCATTATCCTGATTCCTATATTTACAGGTTGCTTTACAAAGCAAAAGTGATCAAAATGTGAAAATATTCACTAATAAAGCGACCACTTATAAAATGAGTCTCTACTCCAAACATACTTTCTTCTTTACTGGTAATGTCTAACTACATACCGTTTTTTGGTCAAACTCTTTTTTGGTCAGTTTCTTGTGCATTGTTAGACATATACATTGCAAATATAATGGAAATTAATTGCAAAGTAAAGTGGTAAGTCTTTCAGAAGACACAGAACTTCATCAAATGAAAGAAAGTGAAAAAGAACTACTTGAACCACATGCAAAGTCATTGTCAGAGTTAGAGCAAGTAACAATTGTTAAAATCCACAAGGACGACAACAGAACTAGCCCTTCAAAATATAACAGAAGTCGTTGGAACACTACTAAGGAATAGAAAGAAATGAGCTACAGATACACACAACAACGTGGATGGATCTCAAAAGACATTATGTTCAGTGAAAGAAGCCTGACACAAAAAACTATACACTGTATGAATCCATTTATTTGCAATTTTAGAATAGGAACAACTAACCTATGGTGATGGAAACCAGATCAGTAATTGCTTGGAGAGGGGTTGCTGATTGGGAAGGTCATGAAGGAAGCTTCTGAGGTGATGGGAATATTCTGTCTTGATATGACTTCCTAAAACTAATTGAATGGTACACGTAAGACTTGAGCATTTCAATATATATAAATTATATCTCAAAAATTTATTTATTTTTTGCATAGAGAGAGAGAAGTACTTGGGAAAAATTGAAAAAGCATCAAATATTTTTGCAAAAGATAACCCTTTTTAATGGTTATACTGCAAAAGTCAAATAGGAATTGATCTAATTTATATCACACCATCAAACAATTTTGTCAGAAAGATTATATACCCTCCCAAATAAGAAATACTTGGTTTATTCTTTGCTCTAAGAATTGTAATAGTTGTAATTATAAACCACATTTTGTGAACTATACATTAAAACACTGATGATTTTTATTTCTCTTTTTAAGGATAAATTCTCTATCAAAATTTGGTCCTCATTTTAAGTAGACTCACTTTAAAATGCATTCATTCAACAAATATTTATTGAGAGCCTGCCACGTGCCTGGCATGGTTCTAAGTGCTTGGACTATATCCGTGAACAAAATGAACAAGGCTTCCTGCCCCTGTGGAGTATGTGCTCTCACAGGGAGACAAGCAACACACAATAAATACACAAAATAAGAAAGCAGAGAAGTATGAGGGGGAACAGCTAGATCTAACACCCTGAGATGGGAGCGTGCTTGGCATGTTCAAGAGACAGGAAGGAGAGCCAGAACTGATGGCCCAGTAGTTAAAGTTCAGTGTGCTTCCCTTTGATGGCCCAGGTTCCATTCCTGGGCATGGAACCACACCACTCATCTGTCAGTAGCCATGCTGTGGCAGCAGCTCACATAGAAGAACTGGAAGGACTTACAACTAGAATATACAACTATGTACTGGGGCTTTGGGGAGGAAAAAAAGAGAGGAAGATTGGCAACAGATGTTAGCTCAGGGTGAATCTTTCCCAGCAAAAAAAGAAAAGACAGCAAAGAGGCCAGTGGGGCTGCAGCAGAGAGAGTGGCAGCAGGGAACAGGAGTGAGCTCTGAGGGGCACCAGGGGCCAGATCATGTCAGGGTTTGTTGGTGTTTTCCTAGTATGGGATCTTCATACTTCCCGTCCAATTCTTAGTACATGGGGGGTCCTGTGTATGGGCGTGTGTGGGTATGCAAGTGTGGGCATGTGTGTGAATTCCTTTCACTCCACTCTAGAACCATTTACCTGGCTGTTCTGCACTCATCTCAAAGCAATCTGTCCAAAATAGAACTCTCCAAACACCCCATCTCCTGCATTTTCTGTCTCTGTTAAGAGCATAAACATCTACCCAACTAATCAAGCTAGAAACCTGAGTCATCTTTCTTCCCTCTCTCTCATGCCCCAAACTCCTACCAATTCTACACCCACAGGCTCTTGAATTCACTTCACCCCCTTTTCTGCATCTCCATCGTCTTGGCTATCATCACCTCCTGCCTGGCCTCCTACAATAACCTTCTGCCAGCCCTCCAATTCTATCTGTCAGACTGACCTCAATCAAACCTAAATCTGATTTCATAACTCCCCTGCTTAAAACCTTTTGGTGGCTCCCCACCAGTCACAAGATAAAGACCTTGTTCATTAGTGGGGCTCATAGGCCATTATCCATCAGATTCCCACCCCCCTTTCTGGTCTCATCTTCATCACCTTAAGCTCCTGCCACCCCAGACATCACCAGGACACACCTGGAATTTTCAAGCCTTTGTAGATGCTATTTCTAAATCTTGAAATGCTTTCCCTCACCCCATGATCATTTGTGCATCCTTCAAGATCAGGCTCCAGGGAACTCCACTGTGACTCCCTCTCCCTGATCTTCCCAGTCAGTTAGGCTCTTTCCCTCTGTGCCCCTAGCACACTCGCACACTCCTCTGACCTTGCCCTTATAGTTATAAGCATAACCACATTTCACCCCTGCATGCCCTCATCTGCTAGCACAGACCTCCAGCCTCTTCCTGCTTCTGTGCATGTTCCTACCACACAACACCCACACTTGTAGCTCTCCCCAGGAGCTCTAACACAGCCACAGTCAAGTCCAGCCAGTGCCAATGAGGTCTCAGGTTTGTTTTATTCCACTTTTCCTGCTACAGTGAGCACAATCCTCCCATGAGTAGGACCATGCATGTGTGAGGTGGCAGAACGGGGACTTGAACTGACTCCCACGTCCAGAGTTCCACATGCTAACCCCTCCCATGCAGATGTAACTTTACATTTATGTATACATTTATGCAGATTTAAAGTTAAAAAAACCCTTAAAGTATATTACTGCATAGATATGTATAAATATATACTTATATATCCTAGAGCTATTTTATAGCATGTATATGTACGTACCCACATATAAAATTAAATAAAAGTTCCATCCTTAGAGGATTGTTTGTCCATGACAAGATTTCTACCACCAGCTATTTATAGATCTGGATATCTTTGCATACAGATGTAACTAGATATTTATTCCTATATGTATACACCATAAATAATTTTAGGATCTCAGTAGCAACTGCTAATCAAGGACTTATATACCTAGATACATAAGTATAATTTTAGAGTTTCAGTAAGAACTGATAATCTAAAAATTACCAGTCATGCTGTCTGTAGTCACCCAGTCCCCAAAGGAAAGTCACTTCTCACAAAAATGGTGTGTCTGTCTCCCTAATGACACAGAGAGCGCTCTCGTTCTCTCAGCCAGCTTGTGTCCCCTGTTCAGCTCCTCTCTCTGAATGAGTGACAGCCGTGCATCAGTGGGGAGACCTCATGCTTGTTTTCCCTGGGGTCCTAGGAGACGAGGGGCTGTGGTAAGCACTAGGCCAGTTCCCTTCAAGCTCTAATGACCAGGCGAGGAGGAGGGGAGGGGACCAGAGGCCTGAGGCGCCTCCTCACACCTCCATTTCTGCTGTTGTCAGAAAGCTTCCTGGCTTCCTTTTGTGATCAGCCAGTCCTGGAAAGGCTGCAGCAGATGGCTAATTACCATAATGCACAGAGCTTTTGAGGGTCCTGGGTGCAAACCCAGGCGTGACCAAGCCAAGAGCAGCTGCATCTAACGCGGCATGTGGAGCCAACATTAGGCTTTACCCACACACCCATTCTGACCTTTCCAGTGGGAAGCTGATGGCATGGTTCAGAACAGATGGCCAAGAGAAACACTAGGGAAAAGCCCTCCCGACCAGCTGTAGTGTCCCTTTTCCAGCCTCCTAGCCTAACAGCTCAGAGCTGACATGAAGCTCATTATCCCCATTGTGTCTTTCTCTCATGGTTTTTATTCTCAGAGCAAGCACAAACCCTGACAGTTCCATTCTTAGCATCCCTAGCTACTGGGAAATTTGGTTTCTAAACCAAATGATGCTTGTGGCAGTTAGGGCTGTTGGACTCTGCCTGGCTTCTACCCTTGGCAAGCATCTTTCCCCACAGATAAACTTCAGGACCCCCGCTAGCTGACTTAGCCCTTCCTGGTCACTAGAGCCAATCCTGAACCTGGAGGGATGTAAGAAGCTCTTGCCCAAACTCAGGATTTAACATAAAATCACACTGGCTACTCATCTGGTATTGACTTTGTTTAGGACTGAAAAAGAAATACATTATTGTAGCAGAGTGAAATGAAATTTTTTAAAACCAGGATTCTTCTTCAGGATGGAACCAAATTTTTGCTTAGGAAAACCCTTTGACAGCAGTGTGGGGTGGGGACTCGGTAAAATGTCAAAGGAGGCCCATATACCATATGTCTAAAGATTTAAAGCTATAAATCAAGTTAACAAACTTTTAAATAAAATGTGTTCTATTCTCCTATCTTGACAAATATTTCTTCTTAATGACCTGGGAGGCCAGGTTTGAGTTTGGACTTCACGGGCTCCCCAGAGTTCTGAACCAGAATGTAGTACCCTGGGGAGCCTGGGCCCCAGTGCTGGCTCCTGGCCCGTGAACCACCCCTCACCCCTGGCCATTCTTCCGATCCCAATTCCATCCCACACGGAGGGAGCCTCTGGCACATAGGTGAGGACACTCCTGGCTTCACAGCCAAGCTCTGGACACACTCCCGTCCACAGCTGCCATAGAGACCACATGGCCATAAAACCTAAAACACTTCCTATCTTGTTTAGAAGGTGGGAAGGAGGGCAAACTCTGGGCAGGTATGTCCCCTTTGCCAACTGGATGCCTCAGACCATAGGTCGGGGCACAGGCTCCTCTAAAGCTCAGCGCCCAGCGCTGGGGACTGGTACTGCTTCTGGGAAGCTTCCTGTGGTGAAACAGTACCTCAGACCCCGAGGGCATGAGAAATTAATAGGAATTTGGGTGTCAGATAGTAGAGAAGGGAGAGGACTGAACAACGTGCCAGCGCAGTGAAGAACTTTAAAAACCGGGATGATACTTTTTTACCATAAGTTTTACCGCTGCAATGTAAGCCCCTCACCATCCCAAACCTTCGATAAAGTCTACTATACCTACAACGGCCTTGCACGACTCAGCGGTGGGGAGTGGTAGTAGGGATGGTGAGGGGGTGATAGGAATCAAGGAGAGGGGAGCATTCCAAGTCTGGGTCTACATAGTCACGGAGGCAGCGTCATGGAGTGGCAAAGTGATCCCCAAACAATGAATTCTGAAGAAGCGGGGAGATGAGAACTAAAATTGACTAAAAACTTGCCCTTGGGACTTTTTCAGAAAATTTGAAGAAGACACTGAACTTTAAACAAATTGAGGAATGAGTCAATCTGGTGCAGCTCTAAAGGGCAGGGTGACCCCAGTTAAATTATAGCATACATTTTTATAGCTAGGTATTAAAAAGTATGTCTTTCTAAAATATATAATATGTATGTGACATATTTAAAATTACAAATTCTTTAAAAAATATCTCATCTTTGGTGACCCATCTAATACTCTGATCCTGTCCATCCGGAGACCTCCCTGGCTCTTTCCAGACCAGGGTCTACTCCCAGATGACCTTTATATGTGTATGAGAGTCAAGATTTACCTTTTTCTGAAACTTATCTCTAACACCCAGGACAAGCCCCTTCTGAACTGGAGTGAAGGTTTTCTGTGCAGGAAACCTTTATCATCCGCCTTCCCTACTGCCCAGGGAGGCTGCAGCTCAGCTCCAAACAGCCTATGTTCAACTCTGACCCCATGTCCCCAGTCTCATCATCCTC